GGGGATCAGGCGTAAATTCCAAAAATGACCGGCCGGGTCGTTACAGTAGTGTATGTCCTATATTTCAGAAAAAACCGACAAATAATCGAAAAACCGAAAAACCGACAAAACCCAACATAAACCGAATCGAGAAAAAACGGACTTAATTGGTTTGGTTTGGTTCAAATATTTGAAAAAATCGACTTACTTGGTTTGGTTTCTTTTTAGGGAAAAACCGATCCAAATCGAACCATGAACACCCCTTCACTCCTCCACCGAAATAAGGCAAGAAAGTGAAGAGTTTTATCAGGTGTAGGTGTTAGTGCATTTTAATATTAAAATTATAATATTTAAGTGTATTATTTCTTCTAAGATAATGGTCATAAATTGGCAAGAAAGTGGTCATATTTTGATATAACTCTTGAAATCACTAATGCCATGATCTATCACTTATTACCCACTAAATCTTATATTTTGTAACCACCAACCCATGTTCTACTAATTTATTATTCCACTATCTTATTATTTATTTCAAGGAAGAGATTCTACACCTATAAATTGTGGTATTTCTTCCTTGTGTTGTAGATGAAAAAATATGGTAGTGAGTATGAGAAAAGTATTACGGTATACATGAAAAAAGTGTGGTTGGTAATGTGAAAAAGAGAGTTAAGAGAAGGAGAAAATTTAAGTCTCTAACTTATTCTCTACAAATTTGAATATTATTTTTGTTGAAGGAAGGTGTTCATTTTGGTGGAGCTTTGGATTCAACAACTTGTCCAGAGTTTGTTGGAGTCATACGACGTTGTCGGGTTGTTATATCCTGGAGGGGACAAGTCAAGAGTATTATTGCTGGACCGATGAGGATGCTACTGTAGTGGGTTTGAATCTCCTTAAAGAAAGAGCGATATCCGCGCATCAGCCTGAAGAATATTTATTTATTTTTTTACATCTTAGTTTTTAACTGTAATTACTTGTAATTTCACCAACAATTTTAAGGAGATTCATTTTTCTTATGCAGTTGAAAAATACTGGATATCAAGGTAGAAGTTCACTTTCTTTAAGAGATGAAAAGGCAAAGTATTTTTCACTTGCTTAACTCAAGCGGAAGAAAGGTATAAACTTCTTACCTTAGATTTTTCATGAATAGGTGATATATTTTTTTTATGAAAAAATAAATTTTTATAATTCTAGAAATAGTGGGGGTAAGAGAAATAAAATTTTTTTGCATGAATAATTTGAGTATTCATTCATGAGAGAAAGTTGATTAAATCAAGAAGTGTGATAAGTGCATCTATGATAAGTCTTGGAATAATTCGCATGTATTATTTGCCTCTATGTTGATGATTTATTAATTTTTGACACTAACATGAATGTTATTGGAGAAACTAAAAGCATGCTTAGTAGCCATTTTGACATGAAAGATTTGGGTGAGGCAAATTTCATTTTTGGAATAGAAATTACTAGAACATGTGATGGAATTTTTCTTGACCACTCACATAATGTTGAGAAAATTTTAAAAAAATAATTTTATTGATTGCAAGCATGTTGTAACTCCTTTTGATTCAAATGTTCAATTTTTTCTGTACACAATGATAATGTTGTGATAAATCAAAAGAAATATGCTAGCTTGATTGGAAGCTTGAGAATATGTAACTAATTACACTTGATTTGAGATTGCATATGCATTATGAGTAATTAGCAGGTTTACAAACAAGTGAGGTAATGGACATTGACATGTCATAACAAGAGTTATGAGGTATTTACTTGGTACAAAAACCTACGGCTTATCTTATAAAAAATATCCTGCTGTAATTGAATGCTTTTCTGATGCAGATTGGAATATTTTATCTTTGAGAGCGTGCTATTTGTTGGAAATTAAAAAAAAAAAATAATAATGGCTAACTCTACCGTGGAGGCTGAACTAGTTGCTTTAGTTTCAGCTGGTGAAGAAGCGAATTGGTTGAGAGATTTATTATTTCGAATTTCTTATTTTGAAAAACCAGTTCTTCTTATTTTAATTCATTGTAATAGCACTGCTGCTATTGGTAAAGTACAAAACCGTTATTAGAACGGTAAATTCAGACCTATAAGGGAAAAATATAATATTATGAGATATTTGATAAGTGGTACTATTAATGTTGATTATGTGATAATCTTGTAGTCCACTAACCAAGGGTTTGGCAAGAGAAATGGTCTGGAGTACATCGAGGGGGATGAGATTGAATCTCATAAACTCATAAGTCATATATGAGGAAACCCAACCTGGGGACTGGAGATCCTATAACCAGGTTCAATGGGAAGAACAAATCATATGATGGCTTGGTTTGAAATGCATTATTATATTTGTTATTGTTCCATCCCTATGGTGTGTGTGCATTTATCCTGTAATGAATTACGAGGTTGAGTTTTATTAACTATTAATGAAAATCTATAGCTCGTATGAATGGGGTGTTAGAATTACAGGAGCACCCTTGACAGATTTCACCTATGTGAGCGTGGAAGTAGGCCGCTTCCTGTGAGAATTAGCCTTGTTCTAAAAAACACTCATGAAAACCGAGATAGCACAAGGCCGTAATGTGCTGGCTAATAAAGCTCATGTCAACACCTTGATTATTATGTGTAAGCAGTGATACTTTATTTCCCTTAAGCAGTCATAGTTCAATTCTGAGACCACTACTGACTCTAGAGTAGAGATTAATGTTTTACTATGTGGAGGTTCAATGTAGAGCACACATTCATTATGCATAATAGTTTCCCTTCAACTAGTAAACTCTCTTATTTTAATATTAAAATGAGTGGGGAAATGTATGCGTTAGTGCATCTTAATATTAAAATTATAATGTTAAAGTACATTATTTATTGTGAGATAATAGTTATAAATTGGCAAGAAACTGGTCATTATTTTGAGGTAACTCTTGAAACTACTAATGCCATGATCTACCACTTATTACCCACTAAATTTTATATTTTGTAACCACCAACAACCCATATAATACTAATTTATTATCTCACTATTTTATTATTTATTTGAAGGAAGAGATTCTACACTTATAAATAGTGGTGTTTCTTCCTTGTGTTGTAGATGAAAAAATATGGTAGTGAGTATGAGAAAAGTGTTATAGTCATATAGTGTACATGAAAAAAGTATGGTTGGTATTGTGAAAAAGAGAGTTAAGAGAAGGAGAAAATCTAAGTCTCCAACTTATTCTCTACAAAAGAGAATATTATTTTTGTTGAAGGAAGGTGTTCATTTTGGTGGAGTTTTGGACTCAACAACTTATTCAAAGTTTGTTCGAGTCATACGACGTTGTCGGGCTGTTGTATTGTGAAGGGGACAAGTCAAGAGTATTCCTGCTGGACCAGTGAAGATGCTACAGCAGTGGGCTTGAATATCCTTAAAGAAAGCGAGATATTCGCGCCTCAGACTGACAAATTTTTTTTTTTTACATCTTATTTTTTAACTGTAATTACATGTAATTCCATCGACACAAGACATAATATAAGTTGGCATGATGCACATGTTTTTGGGCTCGCAATAGCTTAACATAAGGGACAAATATGTAAGCTCTGTTAGGCAAAGGAAACAATCCGCGAGCTTGGAGTGTGATGGCTTTTACTATCCCACATTTTCCCCGTAATTTGTCCATGTAAAGCTTGTCCAAAATGTTACAATTTCATACGAATAAATTAATATCTCATCTTACAGGTGTATAATTCAATTTTCATTAAATTTTATGCTTTATTCTCTTTTAATGAGTGTATTTAGTCGATCCAATTTGATTTCATTGTATTAGATTCGTAAATATAAAAAACAAAACGGAACCAAAAAAGTCAAACTTTTATAAACATTATATCATCATTTAAAAAAGAAAGAAAATGAAAATGAAAAAGAAGTTTGATTAATCATTTTTCCGGATAAAACGAAATTCAATTCACTTGCCTACTTTCTACCACCACCATTTTCACTTCAACCATAAGAAATAAAAAATAAAACAAAATAAAACAAATGTGGAGTTTGGGGTCCACATCTTAGCCACCACAAACTACAAAGCACTACAGAACGTGACAATATGGCCTAACGCAAATTGTTAAAAAAAAAACAAATTAATTAATTTCCTCCCTATGGGCAGCGCCAAAATAACTTCTGGGCCCCATTTTTTCTGGGAAGTTCCGTGACCGTGACTGCCCTTTTTCCTTCCGCTGCCCGTTCACTTTTCACCGTTCGATCTTTCAATTCCAACGGCCCAGATCTTGCCTAACATGCCACGTAAGCTCGGCCTTAATAATCGGAATCTAATAAAGCCTTTAATTAAACAACCACATATGGCCACGTCACTTATCCATCTAACGCTTCAGGTGGTTTCCAACTAGACAATCGGATGATCCACACCGTTGATTTTACTTCTAGAGCTTCATCAGAGGGGCCCCACCTGTCTATTTGTGGAAAAAAGGAGCTGGACAGTACTAAATGTACTCACTTTAATAATACTAAAAAATAAAAAAAGGAAAAACCATAATTATTTTGAATAGCGAAAAAAATGTAAGTAAAACCCGATAATTAATGAATTTGACCGGCTGGAACGATATTTTCTGCAGTCACCTAGATTCCTTGTGATCGTCATGTTTTTTTGCTTTTACCAAGGTCAGTCACACACATTTAACAACCGGCTATAGCCGGTCACCTAAACAAAACTTGGAGGGGTAACTTTTGTTTGTTCCATTCACTCGTGAAAAGTGCCCCACACACCGGGGCCCACGAAAATTAAATATATTGTTTTGTCAGAATAACAAAAAACTCCCTCCTTATTTTAGTCACCCACCCACCCAACTTTATAAATCAGGAACATGGTGAGGAGATGACCGACACGTGTCAGTCTGAATCTGACGGTGCGAGCACATGCCATGCTGGCAAGATGGAATGTGAACCGTAGATGAGATGGTGAATGGACGGTGGGAGATGTAAAGGAATTGTCAAAATTGATAGATCTCAACCTTCCACGAGGGTTTGAAGAGTGTGATATAGCCAAAAGCTGATGAAGATAGAGAGCAGAAAAAGGAGACCCAACAAAGATAGATAGAGAGAGAGAGAGAGAGAGAGAAGAGGAGAGAGAAGAGAAAAGGAGAAGAAATCCGAACACACACCCATTTGTGAAAAGTTAAGATCTTTGAAAGAATAAATTTGTGGGGTTGTTGTTTTATCTCCGGCCTGAAAGTGAAAAAAACCCATTTCCGGCGAAATTGGCCATAAATTCCGGTGAATTATGCTAGACCTCATCTGGGGTTAGTTTATACCTTTCACCGGAGAAGAAAAAAGAAAAGCTTTTGTTTTTTTTCTCTCTATCAAACAAATGGATAGGAACAGAGAAGCAAGAAGAAGTGGGGGTATGGTAGCAGCGGCAGCTACATCTAATGGATTATCATCAAGACGTAGACATAGAACTAATAGTCTTAGAGATTCCCCTGGTACAAATCTTAGATCCATAATTTTTCTTAATGATTCTTTAAATTAATTTTTTTTCTTGATGAACTAATTGTTTTTTTTCGTTTTTGTTGCAGATGAAGATGGGGGTGTAGAGATACAAGAATCTGTAAGGTTAAGGGAAAGAGTGAAGAAAGATCGAGATCGTGAACGGGAACGAGAAAGAGAACGGGAAAGAGAACGAGAAAGAGAAAGGGATAATAGGGATAGGGATAGAGATAGAGATAGAATAAGTCGGAGTAAGAGAAGGAGAGGTGAAAGGTTAATTGGTGGTGTTGATGATAGTTCAGAAGAAAGTGTAAACGATGATGAAGAAGAAGAAGATGAAGATACTACTACGACAACTACTACTACTACAAACAACGTTGGTGTTTCAGGTAGTAGTAGTACAAGGTTGTTGCCGCCGAATCCTCCGGTCCCGGTGACGGTGGGGTCCATTTCAAATCACCACCATCATCATAATAACCATAATCATAATAATCATCATTTACAGCCTCCGAGGAAGAGTTTTCCACCGAATACTACAAAGGTTTTTAGGACAGCAACAGCAGCAGCAGCAGCAGCTCCTGTTTGGAAACCTGGTGATGAAATGATTGGTGTTTCTGTCCCAAGAAAAGCCCGTTCTGGTACTGTTTTGTTTATTATTGTTGTTTTTGAGGATTTTTTGATTGACCCTTTTCTGATTTTTGGGTGTTTTTGGTGATTTTCAGCATCTACTAAGAGGTCACATGATTGGATTTCTGGGGTCAGCGGTGGTGGTTGTGTTGTTGTTGTTGGTGGTAATAATAGTGGCGTTATTACAGGAGAGCAAATACATCAGCAAGTTTCGACAGCATCGCCGGTGAGACAGAATATTCCGGCAACATCAACACAATCACCGGCAGCTCCTTTATCTCCATCTTCTTCCAATGTTTCAGTCAGAAAGAAAATTGTTAGTCTCTTTTTTTCAAATCTGATTTGCTTCTATTTTCTTTATTTTGATGTATATATTTCAACTGATTTTCTTTTAAATCTTGATGCAGAAACCTAATGGACAAAAAAGGCCGCCGGCAAAGTCACCACCAAAAGCTTCTTCATCCAACAACCCTGAAGAGCTAGAGATTGAGATTGCTGAAGTGTTATACGGGTTGATGACTCAGTCACAAGGACCATCCAAGAAAGAAAGTGGAGGAGGACCAAATGATACAACAAGAGAAGTCAATAACAGATCCAGAGTTTCTTCTCCTGTTTCAAATTCTAACTCATCAGCTACTCCTTTATCTGCTGTTGGTGAGCAGAACTAAAAAAGTTCCAATCTTTTGCCCCAAAAATATCCCATTTCTTGATTCTGTTCTGATGAGTCTTGGCTTTGTGCAGCTCCAAAGAGGAAAAGACCGAGGCAAGTCTTGGAAAATCCTGGAGGATTTGGTGTAAGGAGCAGCCCCATTTCATCTTCTAAAGTGGAGATGGATCAGACAACAACAGTGAAGATGGAGGTTTCTTCTCCTAATTTGGAGAAGACCCCACAATCTGCTGCTGAAAATGGTGTATCTTTATATGATTTAAGTGCTTCTGTACAAAGTTTGCCGGTTGCATCGGATCCGGTACCGCAGACGGTGAAGGTGGAATCTGAGGCCAAGAGGAGGCCTGAGGAATCTGAATTTATGGAGAGTAAGGAGGAGGTGAGGGAATCTTCTACTTTGGGAGCAGAAAATAGTAGTAATCGTGAGGATGCTGTTGCAGTTACCCAAGTGTGAGTATCTATCCTATGTTTTGATCTTTTTGTTGGTAATTCAACTTTTTCTCCATGTTCTTGTATCTGATTCATGTGTTGTTGGAATTTCAGGGTTGTTTCAGAAGTTGAAAGTCAGAGAGAGGAGAAATTCCAGATAGATCTTATGGTGAGGATGAAGATATGCCTAAACATTCATTTCAATTTTTTTTTCTTTCCAAGTTTGGTAATTAATCCTTTAAATCTCTTTATAGGCTCCTCCACCACAGTTAAGATCATCTCCTGAAAGGGAAGCTGAGATAGATTTTGGATCAGCAGCTGCGGATAAGAAGCTTATTTTAGCAGAAAATATAGTAGTGAGTACTCATTTTTTCTTTTTTTTTTCTCCTACTTGAGGATATTGAGGATGATCTGATGAATGAATTGGCTGATGATGCGAACAGGAAATGAAGCCTTCAGTGAAGGAGAAGGATAATGAGAGGATTGGCAAGGCTGAGAAAGAAGAAGGGATCAGTGTTGAAGCTGAGGAAAAGAAGACAAAAGCAGCAGCCCTTGAGGAACTTAATCCTCATAAGACAAGTGAGGGTAGCAGGAGTAGGAATATTGATCTTCAGCTAGAGTTGGAAAGGCCAGAAAAGGATAGTGGTGTAAGTAGCAAATTCCAACAGCAGAGTCAAAAGTTGCAGCAGCAGCAGCCTCCACCTCAAAAAGCTACTAAAGAAGAACCAATTATAGAAAAAACTGGTAAGTGTTGATTTTAGGGTTCATTGTATTGAAATCTTCCCTTGGATTTTTTTATTGATGGGGGTGATGTTTTCTATATTCAGGTCAATCAAGCTCTTTACCAATGCCAATGTCTATGGCTAGCTGGCCTGGTGGGCTTCCTCCCATGGGGTACGGTCGGCTTGACTTAATTGCTCATTTAATTGATATTACAAAGTATTAGATCCGTGGTGTAAATGCTTCTGGCGAAATAACTCAATTCCTGTCAGCAGATACATGGCACCTTTACAAGGAGTTGTAGCTATGGATGGAACCACAGTTTCCTCTGCTCCAATCCAGGTATTTCTCTCTCACTTCTCTTCTCTCTTTCCACCTTAGTCATTTTCAGGCTGGAGTTTGATTCATGCTCTTCTGCCCCTTTTTTGTGCTTTTCAATGTTATGCAGCCGCTGTTCTCTCAACCGCGGCCAAAAAGATGTGCGACACATTGTTACATTGCTAGGAACATACATTGCCTTCAGCAATTCATGAAGATGCATCCTTTCTGGCCACCAGCTGCTGGCTCTGCTCCATTCTATGGAGCCAAGACCAATCTCAATGTTCTGCCGCCCACAGATCTAGCTGGGAGAGCAAGTGCTGGGCCAGATAAGGGTCAGGGGCTTGCCATTTTCCCTAATAATGTTGGTAAAGACAAAGTCCAGCCTGCAAACATTGCAGATGCTACTGCTCAGAGAAAGCAGCAAATATTACTCCAGCAAGCATTGCCTCCTGTTGCGCCTAACAATCTACTGGTACAGTCTCTTACAGCTTATTAGCACCTTAATCTCTTGGGTTTCTCTATTTTGGAACTTTCTATGAAGATCAGAGGAGTGCCTAATTGCTGAGTCTTTTATGAATTTACAGCATGGGCCTACTTTCATCTTCCCTATAAATCAACAACAGGCAGCGGCAGCTGCTGCTGTGCGACCCGGTCCCACAAAGTCACCTAGCACAACGGGCACTGCAGCCTTGTCTAACACATCCAATCCTGCTGCTGGCACTGCTGCTTCAGCGGCAGCTGGTGGAGCTGCTACTGCAATTAGTTTCAACTACCCAAATATGTCTCCTAATGAAGCTCAGTACTTGGCGATCTTGCAGAATAATGCGTATGCTTTCCCAATACCTGCTGTAGGAGCACCTCCAAATTATAGAGGAGCTCATCCGCAGCCTATGCCATTGTTCAATGGGTCTTTCTATTCTTCCCAGATGATTCATCCATCCCAGGTTCAGCAACAACAACAACAGCAGCAGCAGCAGCAGCAGCCGCCTACATCGCAGTCGCAACAAATGCAACAAGGTCAACAAAACACAAGCATGTCTAGTGGATCCTCTTCATCCCAGAAGCATTTGCAGAGCCAGCAGCAGAGGTCCCAAGGTAATGCTGTTAATGGTGGCAATTTGCATAATTTTCCTGGGTCAAAGAATCATCCATCTCAGTCCCCAGCACAGTCACAAAATCAGCATATTCCTCAACAGACACGCCATATTGAAAATGAGGTGGGTAGTGAAGATAGCCCATCAACTACAGAGAGGAAAAGGTCTCATGGACCGATGAATGTGTACAATCAGAGTTTTGCTATGCCCATGCATCCCTCAAACTTTGGTTTGATGACTCCTCCAGCTACTTTTGGTATTGCGTCTTCTGCCGGTGGTGGCAGTAATCATCAAACTGAGAAGAAGTCACAGCAACAGCAAGGTTTAAAAACGAGTCTAGAATCAGTGCCGCCTCAGCCTTTTGCCATGTCATTTGCTTCCTTAAATGGAGCCACTGCTGGTCCTGGTATTGACATGTCCATGGCACAGAATCATGCTATTTTTCAGAGTCTCCCTGAAGCTACGAGGCAAAATTTACAGATGGCTGCAGCTGCTGCTCAGGCCGTGCAGCAGAAGAAAAATTTCAGAATATCCGAGGATGGTAAATCTGGATCCAGCGACCAATCTGGGGCTGATGCTGAAAGGAAAGGTTTAGCTATGAAGCAGCCTTCAGGAAATGCTGGTCAGTCTATTGCATTTTCAAGGTCTGAGATGTCCGAGGCCTCTGGTTCTAATATTTCAGCCAACAGTGTTATTGATAGCTCATCAAGGTCCTTAAATCTTCCATCTGGTGCTTCATGGACTGCTCGAGCTGCAATGCCAAATGCTATGGGAGCTGTAAATGTCCCTAATGCACAGTTACAAGCTCAAATTCAGCATCAGCAGCAGCAGATGATTCAGCTTCATAAGCAACAGCAACAGCAACAGCAGATGGCTGCGGCTGCTGCTGCTCGGAGTAAGACACCAGCTTCTAGTAATGGGAATGCCTACTCTGATCACTTGACATCGTCGGCTTCTGCTGCTTCAAAGTTTCCAAATGCAATGTCTGCTTTTCCTCAAAACCTTGTACAGACTGGCAACAACAGCAGTCAAGCTCAGTCGCCTCAGTGGAAAAATTCTACCAGAACATCTACGTCCCAAGCTCCATCATCTTTGTCATCCACTTCTTCTCTGAAAAACCTTTCTCAGCAGCAGGTTAGATCCCAGCAAAGCCACACACAAATATCTTTTGGCACAAATCAGAAATCACCTGCTCCTCCACAGGGACAACAGCCCCCTAATAATAACCAGTCTCCCTCTTCCCCCATGATGGTTGGCTCTCCTACCACTTCTTCAATTTCAAAAGGTGCCAGTGGAAGCCCAAGGCATACAAATTCTGCTTCTGCAAGCAATAAAATCGGCGGCCAAAGCTCATCATTGTCAACACAGCAGGGTAAATCCTCGCCTTCACTTCCCAACCAAAAGTCATCTCCTGCTGGTGGAAGGAATGTGCCGTCAATTCTTGGAAACCCTCATACTGCTTCAACTTCAGGCAGTGGAACTAAGTCTCAAATGCAACAACAGCAACAGCAACAGCAACTACAGCAACAGCAGCAGCATTTACAGAAGAGTATGCAGCAAGCACAACTGTTCTTCTCAAGTCCATATATGCAAGCTCAACCCCCGCATTCTACTGGTACAAATTCTACAGGTCAAGCTACTGGGGGATATTATCTTCAAAGAAGGCGTTCAGACCAGCCGGCTCAACAACCGACTGGTTCATCAACGGCATCATCGTCAAGTGGAATGTTGACTTTGTGTCCTGTTACTCTAGGTGGTGGCACCACTTCTGATCCTGCAAAAGCGATTGCAGCAGCAGCAGCTGCTAGTAATATGAAAGGTGGAGTCTTGCCCTCGCAGGGCATCCTTCATGCGTCCCAATATACAACACCAACATCTGGAAGTCAACATCAGCTTTTGCCTGCTGGTTTCTCGTATGTTCACCCTGTTCCTGCAGCAGTTCAAGTGAAGCCAGCTGAACAGAAACAACCTGCGGGTGAGTAGATTCGTCGTCATCCTTTATTTGCATTTCAGCTCCATTTCTAGGTAGATAAGTTTAGGAGTTAAAGCAAAAAAATAAATGATTTAGATTAAATGGGGAAGTAATTTATGAAGTGAAACATAATTCTTGACCAGGAAATGACAATTTGCATGCGTGCTGGCAGCCTGAGAAGAAATGAACACTGTACAACTTGATGGCACAGCTGACCGGGGAGGCACATCAATGAAAAGCAGTTGGAATATGAAGAACCCGCAGTTTTGAAGGGGCACTATGCGGGTTTTTGAGGACTGATCCTCCATGCATTTTGCCTGGAATGCAAGTCAGTCAACATTTGGATTAATGTTGTATGACGCGCTCCCGTGGTGTATAATCTGACTGCTTAGAGGGAGGGTATCACGAATGAAAGCGCTGCTCGACCGGTTGGCTTTGAAGATTAAAGGATGGTTTGCAGGATAATTGATCAGCTCTTTCCTGCATGGTTGATGGAGGAGGTTAGATTCAGGGGGAAAAATGGTTTTTGGGTTCCTTTTTCCTTTTTTTTTTGGGGGGGGGGGGGTTGGTGGGGTAAGCAGGTCAGTGATAAGAACTAAGAAGAGTGAAGGCTTGAATTGAATTGCCTTCTGTTTTTTAGTAGGAATTCTGGTGCTTCAGTAATTCATTATTCTTTTCCTTCTCTTGTCATTAAAAGTGTTTTCTACTGGCTTGAAGAGCAGTTTCTGGACAGTACCTTTTTGGACATATATAAGTAAGTAATGCAAGGTGTATATGTGTATGTCTTGGCACATATAAATGGATGGATTATCCCTCAAGATTTTCTTTTGGTTTCTTTTCCTTTTGCATTCTTTAATTATATGGCTGAAAATAGTCTCTGTCAGGACAGAAAGACAGGAGTTCGTGAATGATGGTATCAGTCCTTTGTTTTGGGAAGGGGGCATTATTATGTCATTGGTTATGATAGTTACTCTCTTTTTGCTAAGATGAAGACTCTTTTGAATGAACTTTGTGACTTAGCACTTGTTTTATTTCCTTCTCTTTTCTTAGGAAAATAGTTGACAAGCTACCCTTGGTATTGCCTCATTTGGTACATGTATATTATTTGTGATGAATGAGAAGTTATTCTAATTACTAATGTACCACTGTTTCTGGAGCATTTTAAGAAGGAAAGAGTATCGCATAAAATATTAATATATTCTGTAGGGGGAAGTTGGTTATCATTGGTTGGTGTGATTTATAAAATGGGTAAGGGTGGCTATCTTTGAAACACATACATGTAGATAGATTGAGATGGGTGGCTTTAAAAAGAAGAGTTGATTTTCTGCACTACATGTGTGTGAAGTGTGAGGTATACATGGACCCTATCTCTTTAATATTATTAGTATTTCATTTTCACTTTGTGCGTTTGCAATTACAATATCAACAGCTCAATACTCCAATAAATTCCTGCTTTGAATCACTCACTACACAGACTTTACCCCACGCAGAAAAGTTGGTTTGTAGAAAATATGCCGACTTTAAATTTTTTACATAGTCACTGGCTCACTGCATAAAAATATGCTACTACTTATTTTAATAATATAACATCACTCAATGGTGGATATTTTGATGTCTGATTATTTGGATTACATGGACTTTGATAGATATGTAATTTTCACACGGACAAATTTGCCCTTGTATTCTGGTCCCACTTTCCCATTGAAAAGGTCAGCATATGTTAATGGGTGGGTTTTTGGCTTCCAGAAGGTCACATGTGTCCAGAAATCCTTTTGCCTTGTAGGCTCGATACTTCTTTGGTCTAATGTGGGACCTACTCTTTTTTTTTATTTGCTCGCTAAAGTTTAAAAATTCCACTGTGGGACCCCCTACATTGTTTTTCTGTATTTGCTCACGCCTTCCCAAAACTTAAAAGTATTTTAGTAATGTTGCCTTAGTTATAGCTTGTTTGCTCATCGTAAACGATTTGATGCTGCAGGCTTTTCCTTTTNNNNCATTTATATATATATATATATATATATATATATATATATATATATATATATATATATATATATATATTCTTTACTAGGTCAAGTGAAACATCTCACCTACACATAGAAATAGGAGCAAGTTGTAATGAGAATATTTGAGAGTTTGCACTTTGACGGCAATGACAAAGTACTAAGTGAATTTATATAGTATAAATAATAAACACGCAAAAAATCAAAAGAATTTTAATATTTACTACATAAATCAAAAATATATTTTATTTTATTTTATTTGTAGATGCGCTATAATTTTTTCAAAGGGAGATTAGTTGAACCCCATTGCACCGACTAGGAGCCTGTTTGGATTGGCCTACTTTAAGTGCTTTTAAGCCAAAATAGCTTTTAAGCCATTTTGTAGTGTTTGGATAAAGTAAAAAAGTGCTTTTAAGCACTTGGTTTTAAGCTAAAATGATAAAAATAAGCCAAAAGCCAAAAATTAAAATTTCTAACTTATGCCTTTTGGCTTAAAAGTCACTTACAACAAGCCCATCCAAACGAGCTCTAGTTTTGCCTGCTTGAAGGGATCATGGTTAACAAGCTAGTGAATATAAAGCACTTCCAAATATTCCAATAAGAAAACAAAAGCTTGTACAATGTATTATATTTAAGAATCTTAAATGTTGGCAAGAGATTAGTAAGTAAAAATAGGAAGTTCTTTACCTTTTTGATTGTTTCTCCAATTTTCTTTTCTATTTTCCATTTTGTGCAAGAAGCCAGCAACTAGTCAATTATTTTAAACTCCAGCACTTCCGTTTCCAAAGAATAATTTATTAATTAACGAACTTTTCAAAGATTAGGTCATAGCTTAAAGATGACAAATTTGCTGGACCCAATTAGAAGTATATTTAAACAAAATGAGGTGATTGATTTTATGTCAAATTCAGAGGTCGAAAGGGAAATTAAAGTCCTATCTCCTTTTGACAAAAGAATAAACATGCTTTAAATTTGCTTTTGTTTGAAGGGCAAAGGAGCTAAAAAGGATTTTCTTGATTGAGAAAATATTACTTGAAAATTAAAAATAAAGGAAAAAGACATAATGGTGGGTTCCAAAATAGTTAGCTTTTCAACGGCTAAGGTTCATTATTGATAATATTAGTATTGTGGTCCAATCAAAATAGGTAAATGATTGGGACCAAAGTAGTTGAATCAATAAAATGGATTAATTGGATTAAAAAAGCCATAATCTTATCTTGTGATGTATATTCATTTGCTTTATTCCTTCAATTCCATTACGTGTCTAATTATACAACGCTGCTTTCTTCTTTTACATAATTTTGAATTTATGTGTTAGTAATATGTTCTATTTTGCAATATACTTTTAAAACACTGTCACTTTTGAATCTTTTCTTGTTCCTGCTGTCATTAATTTTATTGGACGTACTTTTTAGACTGTTGCGAATTAGTTTTCTCTTTTGTTTTATTTTATTTAAGTTAATATGTTTGATTGAATATGGACTTTCAAAAAAAATTAAAATTGTTTGCCATGTAAGTAGTTATTTGGTTAAAGATAAGTTATGCAAGAATTACAATACCATGAGTTACATCGCAAGATTATTTCTTATTGGATATATAGCTTATTCTATAAAGATTAGTACTATACATTTTATAATTTAAATTAAAATAGCTGTTTACTTCTTAAACATTAAATATATTTTACTATATTGGTGTTGTCATTTTAGTTATTTTAATTCGTGCATTATTAATATCTGCATTCTTGTTTAACATAAAATAAGACATAAAAATTCTTGCATAACTTACACAAATACTAGTATAAAAGATACAGAGAAAATCTCTCTCTCTCTATATATGCTATCATATTGAGCCAAGCAATATTACTTAGTTATAGGGACAGTTAGTTGTGCTAATTGTAACTTAAGTTTACTGTGGTTAGTAGTAGAGTTAGTTAACCATAGTTAAGAGTTAGTTAGCTTTTAGTCTTATACATATACATGTACAGACATACGCAGTTTTTTTGAAGAAATAGAATCTCTGAGAATATTCTCTCTCCATCTTCTTCCTTTGTTTCACCGACCTACTCAAACTCACCAAATTAGCTTTAATCAGCTAAGAATCCATGGCTGAACTTCACGGATAGCTGATTTTGACATGGTATCAGAGCCACACGGCCATTAGTGTGGTCTCATCATTTTTCAATTTCGTCCATTTTAGTTTTTCTTTGAGTTAATTTGGAAGATCAACAATGGCGACTGTCGATAACACTGACAGAGAAATTAGGTCACAATCACCCATTTTTCTTGAATTCAAATGATAATTCAGGAGCTGTGTTGATTTTATTGCAATTACGAGGACCGGAAAACTACTCTGTGTGGAGCCGAGCAATGAGGATTGCAATCCTAGGTCGAAATAAGCTAGGGTTCATTGACGGCACATGCAAAAGGGAGAACTATGGTACAAATCTCGTAGATCTCTGGGAACGTTGTAATGCGATTGTATTGTCTTGGTTGATGAACTGTGTTTCTCCGAAATTGTTGAGTGGGATGGTATATTCGTCAAATGCTGATGAAGTATGGGTCGATTTGAAGGAGCGATTTGATAAAGTTGATTGCTCTAGGATTTTTCAGATCCACAGAGAAATTGCTACTGCTAGGCAGGGCACCGGTTCTATTTCGACTTATTTCTCAAAATTGAGAGTGCTTTGGGCGGAGTTTGATAGTCTGGCACCAATTCCCGGTCGTGATGCTGCTAACTCTCGTGAATTTGTTCAATTCATGGAGCGTCAAAAGCTTCTACAGTTCCTAATGAGACTGAATGAGTCTTATGAACAAGCACGCAGCCAGCTCTTGATGATGGTTCCTGTTCCATCTGTGAACAAAGCTTATTCTATGTTAATGGAGCGTGAGAGTCAGAGAACAATGTCTAACACCTTTACCACTTTTGATGGGGGTGAGATGGCGGCGCTGATGACAAATAGATCTAGGAATCAGTAGAGGCAAAAGAAAAATTACAATCTTCAGTGTGATGTATGCCACATGAAAGGCCACACTAAAGAAACTTGCTACAGGGTAGTAGGATATCCAAAAGATAACAAGTTCAGGAAGAAGTACAATTCCCATGCAACATCTAATTTTGTAGCTGAAGATGTTCCAGCAACAACAACTGGTTCTACACCTATGGCTCCCACATTCACTCCAGAACAATATCAGCAGATTCTACAACTGCTTAAAGGCAAGGAGACTAAAGTAGCAGCTAACACAACAGGAATGGATTCAGGTATTATAATGTCCTTAATGTCTAACCTGGATCAAGATGTTTAGATAGTAGATAGTGGTGCCTCTAACCACATGGTTTCAAAGCTAGAAGCATTAGATAATCCTACCTCATTCCTAAAACCCAACTCAGTTTATTTACCAAATGGAGATGTGCCTGCAATTACACATAGTGGATCAACTAGTATATTCAAGAACCAACAGATTAGTGATGTTCTTCATGTTCCAAATTTTAAGTATAACCTACTGTCAGTTTCAAAATTGACAAAAGAGCTGCAATGTTTGGTAGCCTTCTTTCCTGATATATGTGTATTTCAGGATCTCTACATTGGAAGGTGTTGGGGATTGGTAATGACACAAATGGACTGTACATACTTAAAGATTGCATATGCAGGAGGAAGCTTACTACACCAACTACATATACCACAATCATGCCTACTTCTATGTCAGTTAGTCAAGATTCAATAAAACTGGAGATATGGCACTAGAGACTTAGCCACCTACCTATGGAAACACTTAAGAGGATTGATAAGTTCAAAAATCTTCACACTAGTAACAGGAGCAGTGATTGTGCAATGTGTCCTGTTTGTCCATTAGCTAGGCAGACTCGATTACCATTTCCAGTTAGTACTAGTAGAGCTAAGGCACCATTTGATCTTTTGCATGCTGATATATGGGGACCTTTCAGAGTACCCACCTACGATAGCAAGAGATTTTTTCTTACAGTAGTAGATGATTTCTCTAGAATAA